CGGGTCCCGCGCAGGCCCCTCAGGCGCCCGCGGCTGCGGGACGGCGGCGGGCCGCGCCGGCCGCTCTCAAAGGCCGGCTTGGTGGCCTGAGCCACCTTGATGGCCTTACCATCCAGGGACTTGCCGTTCATGTCTCTGGCGGCGGCCTTGGCGTCCGCGGGACTTTCGAAGGTGACGAACGCGAAGCCCCTGGACTTGCTGGTTTCTCGATCTTTCATGAGGAGCACCTCGATGATGCGGCCATACTTGCCAAACTCTGCCTCGAGGGCCTTCTCGTCGGTTTCGAGGTTGAGCCCGCCAATGAAGAGCTTCCCGGGGCGGTCGGCTTCCACCATGTCGGCGCTCGAGTGGTCAGCGGCGGTGAGGGGCGAAGGGGCGGCGTCGGTCGCGGCGTGGGCGCCCGCTCGCCGAGGGCGGCTCCTACCGGTCGGGCGGCGCGTCGTCGCCGAGTGTCCGAACCGCACCCACCGCCCGCGCTGCGCAGGCGGAACGCTGGGCTCTGCGCCCCTGCGGGCTGCTGCCCGCCCCCGGCCGGGCTCTTGCCGGCTGTGATTGGTGGGCTGTCCCGGGAGGGCGTCCCGCCGTCGGGGAGGGTGGGCGGTGTTGGGACTTGCTTTCCAGGCTTTAAACTTCGACTTATCAACCTGCCCCTGGTTTAAGTTCTTTCACTCACTCTGGAAAGCTGTGCTGCAAAATGAAAAGCCGTTAGGTTCAAGAGAAAAAAAAAATTCCCCATTGCTCTTAATGAGAAGGATTGTAATGCATTCCAATCGAAGTTACCCCAACCATTTGCAAACAGGAAAAGTTAATTGAAAAATGAAATAAGTAATAAAAGTTTAAAAATGCAGTTTGTACGGAAAATTTATTAAGAATAAGGTTTTTTTGCATTGCCAAAGGGGAAGAGAACACTTGATAAGTGGAGGTTCGTTGGTAGAACAGGAAGAAGGAGGGAGGCATTATTTGGATGCACCATTTCTCCCTTCTGCACCATTTTCTTCAATTTTTCAACCTTCGAAGGGCTCATTGTTATGTAGTATTGCAACTGCCCTTCAAAACAGAGATATTGCACAGCAAGTCATCTTTAGGACAAAATAAAGGCAAAACGTGAGGGCACCTGGACCCTTGTTAAAGTTGCTCCTGAAAAAGCGTCGCACACAGAAGCCTTCGCCTCTTCCTCTGGAAAGAGGAGGCACACCTCAGAAAAACAAAACATTTTAGGTTCATTCTAACAAACTACACAATTCAGATTTGTTCCTCACCATATTCTCTGAATGGAAATAAGTGTGAAGAGTAAACTGGCGAACGTATCTTTGCTTGAGACTGTCATGTCTAGAACCACTTTCTTTTTTTTTTCTTTTTGCTCTAGTGTGTTTGAGGACTGTTTTTCAAAAAGTTTATAAATTTTTCAAAGGCTGCTATGATGAAAAGTTAACTGAATGGTCATGAGAAGTCTCTATGTGTGTTTGTGCATATATACACACATATGTGTTACATTGGTTTGTTGCAATAGCTATGTAATGTTGAAGGAGGTAGTGAAAGCAGGCGTTTTTATGTTTCTGACTTTAATGGGGGTGCTTTTAAGATTTTTTAGCATGCATGAATGGAAGTTAAAGTTAAATGCATCGTGTCATGAATGGCAGTAACAGATTTTTATTACTAAGTCATTATTATATTTCTAAGGTAAACCTACCTGTTTGGGATGTATTCATTTTTAAATATATTGATGACTTTTCTTTGCTCATACTTAGAAATTTTACATTTCTGAGCATAAAGGGTATTGGCCTACAATTTTCTTTCCCATACTGAGCAGGGGAGATTTTTGCCTAAATTTCTTTTAGTTTTAAGTCTATTCAGATTTTTTAAAATTTCTTTTTGACTTGGTTTTTGTAAGATATAGTTTTCTAAGCGTTACCCATTTTTGTTTAATTTGAAAATTTGTCCATAGCTGTGTCCTGTTCTGCTTTCTCTCTTGACAGAAGTTTTTTTATCTTTTCAAAGAACTATCGTTTTTCTTTGCTGATCCTCTTTTGATTTTTTTTTACTGCTATTGTTTTTCTTTTCTTCTTTCCACATTCTTTGATTTACAGTTTGTATTATTTTTCTTCTAAATTTTTAGTTAAGACACTTAGTCCATTAAGAGTTTTAAAAAATGTTTCTTCTAATTGTTCTATCTTACTCTCTATGTACTAGTTAACAGCATGTCCTGAGCTGTTTCATTGTTGTTCAGTTCCCATTTTCTCATTTTCATTATTTCTTTCTTGACTCATGAATTATAAAAAAAGTATAGAGAAGTATGTTTTAAAATTTTCAAACATATGGATATTTTCCGTTATTTTTAACATGCTCTGTATGATATCCATTCTTTGGTTTTTGTTGAGATTTGCTTTGTGACGTAATGTGTGTGTATGTGTGTCTAATGTTCCATATATGCTTGAGAAGAAAGTGTATTCCCTGAATATTGGGGTAGAATTCTTTCCTTATATTATGATGGTCAAATCTTCCTCATCCTAACTTATTTTTTATTTGATAGAATTGTTAATCACTGAGAACGCTTTTAAAATTTCCCGTAATTGTGGATTTGTCAATTTCTCTTTATTTTTATGTCCATTTTTGCTTCATGTAATTTAAGATTATATTGTTAGATATATAAAAATGGAGAATTATTATGTATTTCTAGTAAATGCTTGTATTATGTAATGATCCTTATTATTCATAATAACATTTTTTACTTAATCTGTTTTGTCTGATGCTTATATAGCTCAATATTTTTCAGGTTTCTTTCTGCCAGCTTATTGTGTGCTGTCTGTTAACCATGACTTTCTTGCCTTTTTTATTTCTATCTTTCTTGCCTTCTCTTGTATCAAACGATTTGTCTTTATTCCTTTCTTTTTCCTCTAAAAATATGGAAGAAGTTATGCCTTCTATTTCTATTCTTTGAATGAATAGAACTATACCACAATTTATTTTTTCCATTTCCCTGTTGATGGACCACACCTGAATGTAGGCTGATGCGATGACTCTTAGTGAGGCCCCTAGATAGTTTCAGGATGGGGACTGGTAGCTTGAGGAACCAACCCTGTGATTAAAGGGTTAGAACTTTCAGCTCTCCCACCTATGCATGCACGTGCACACACACCTACACACGCACATATATACACACACACAAACCTCCTAGGATGGAAGAGAAGTTGGAGATTGAGCAATTTCTGGGCTTCTCTTTGGCATATCTGAATTGCCTGCATCACTACTCTTCTGCTTTTGGGCCATTGTTAAGTAAAACAAGGGTAACTTGAACACAAGCACTGCTATACCATGACAGTTGATCTGATAACCGAGACAGCTACTAAGTGACTGAAGGGCAGGTAGTGTATATAGCATGGATATGCTGGACAAAGGGATGACTCACGTCCCAAGCAAGTGGGAGCGGGACGGCATGAGATTTCATTATGCTGTTCAGAAGGACTGCAATTTAAAACTTATGAATTGTTTATTTCTGGAATTTTCCATCTAATATTTTCAAACCACAGATGACAGCAAGTAACTGAAAGTGTGGAAAGTGAAATCGCGGATAATGGGAGACTGCTCTATTAGGGCCATAGTTACAAAGCATATAGTCTGCAAGGGTTGAAGAGGGAGGGTGTTCAGTCAGCTGAGAAGCTCCCAAATCCTTAACTAATGACACTTTACGACCAAAGAGGCCTGGGAATTTATCCCAACCTCAAGAGTATACTCAGCATCTTAACAATCAAAATTTGCCTTCACCATGCTTCTGGAGCCCTGGATCAGGAGTCAGACTCACCACCGGATACCCAAACAAGCACAGACTGGAGACAAAAGGTCTCGATGCTTGCTGGGTCCAGCTGTCACAGGGTCTGATAGCGGTTCTGATCCAGATCTGAATGAGGGCACCATAGAACTGTCAAGAAGAAACAGCACTGGACATTTGCTAAAGGTGGCAAGACAGACATACGTGTAAACTTATACTGTATAAACTGAGCTCAACTCCAGCTAAGACAAAGGTGACAGATTTTTAAAGGCAGAACAGAGAGGGAACAAAAAGGGGTGGTGGGGAAGTAAAAAAGTGAGAACAAATAAAGGGACCAAGGAGCTATGGGGAACTAGAAAAATTACAGAAGGAGGTTAAGTGGGAAATTACTGAAAATGGTTTGGGAACGTGGGTTGGGACAAAATACATTTTGCAGTGGCAGCATTGTGCTTTCTTGCACAAAAACTCAACACAAGGGCTAGGGTCACCTTTAGGGATATGGCCTAGTGCAGGTGGAAACCAGGTTAAAGTTTGGTCAAGTCTCTTAGCACAGTGTTCAGCAAGTCCCTTGTGCCACGTGGGAGTTCACAGTTCGGAGTGACTAGGCTGGTGTCTTTGGTTTTGAGTGCTGCAGAGTGGAAGCGCATGTTTGGGTTGATACCGGACCCACAGCTCACTACTAAACAATCACAGATGGCTAAACATGATCCAGACACACAGCAGGTTATTCTTGAGGAAACGGCCAGCCTGCTGGACTGGATAACACTGTAAAGTCTGTTTACCCTAAGGGGCACAGTCCAACTCCCCCATAAATGTCAAGCGGAACACCCCACATGAAGCAGCTGATCTGCTTCATATGCAAGCCATGTGGGACTGGCTTTGTGATAATCAAGATATTCACCCACTGAGTATGCCTGTTACCCAAGAGCTCATGCTAAATGCTGTGGTTAAGGGGGCCCTTTTGCGTGGGCATCCTGTGCTGCAAAATTGAGCAACAGTCTGAAAACCCTTGTAGAATTTGTTGTCTCAGCTTCCCCTCAGGGGTCTTACAAATGCTACTACAAATATTAAATCAATTAACAATAAAATGAGGAACGGCAGAGGGGAGAGTCAAGGTCTTTGTCCCAGGAGGGTGGAAATCTTTAGATAGTTATTAAGAAATGGGATGAATAACATTGATGGAGTTGTAACAAAGGTCTTAATACAGCACCATCTAAGGTTGGGCGGACCAATGTGACCCCCTGCTAGTCCCTGAATATTAAAGAGCTTCAAACAAGTCTACTCTGTTTACCACAGTTTAGAGAAATTCTAATAGACAGAGATTACAATGAGACACCTGACCTGGAATCCCCTGAGGCAACAGTCAGACAGATTAATTAAGATGAAGATTGATAAAAGGGCCTTGGTCTCTTGGCTGAACACCAGCTGAGGACACAAGGTTTTATGCACAGGAGTGGGTAAAATGGCCAGGGAGTGGAAAAGAGAAGTTTCTGGGACTCCCTGACAAGGGACCCTCATACACTGTAGTATCAAAACCCATTGGTGAAGCCCTAAAGGCAGTGGCAATTAGACTGAGAGAATGTAGAAATGTAAGGGTTGATGAGGTTTGGATGACAATTGGAATGTTTAAACAGGCTGTATGTGAAATGATTATGTCTCTTTGTCTCTTTTACCTGAATGTATTATGTGGGTGGATAATTGTGTCTGACTGGGAAATGTTTCGGCTACCTAATACAGATCTTCCT